ATTTTGCTAAAATATTTGTATTGATGGTTAAAATTATATTTTTGTTTGTTTATGCTGTTAAAACTTATGTTGATATTTATAATTACATAATTGTCTTTGTAATGATCTTTTTTTCCTATACATAATATATATTTGTGATAAGGTAAATTTTACTTCATTATATTTTAATTTTTAGTTTCATATAAATTTTATATTTTAATTTAGTCTTGAAATTTTATATTAGTGGTATAAATTTTAAAAGTATTGTTAAAATAGTTATTAATTAAAATATTTTTAATAAAAATAATTGTAGAAATTAATATCAATTTAGAAAAATAAGAACTGTGTCCTCCAGTGAAATTGATTTTTAAAATTTTAAATATATATATATATATATTTTTTTGTAGTAAAAGTCATACTTTCTAAAAAAAACTGTACAATGTACTTTTTATAATTTTTAACTTTAAATATATCAAAAACAAATTTTAATTTTGGTTATTACCAAAAACAATTTTGTATTTTATTTAATTTTGCTGCAAAAGCGCTTTAAATTTCAAAATCTAAAACCAAATGCTGAGCTTAACACTCCTTAATCAATTTATGAAAATATGTTCTTTATTTATTTATTTAATTATCTATTTTATTGATAAATTTTCATATGCCCTTACACTAGAATTTTCATTTGTATTACTAAATACAGCACATACCTATAATATTTTAATTAGGTTTATTTTTATAATATTAAATTAAATTTAGAAAATCATAGTGAAATACATAAATTAATTTACATATTTTTCAAAGGGGCTGTGTATATTCTTACAGAAAAACTTCAAAAAAGCTATATGGTGTTGAAATTAATAATGTTATGATGTGTGCGTGCACGCATGCATGTAGGGATAGGGATGAGCTAGAAGGGGAACAGCCTCTCTGGCATAAGCTCTACCAACACAAATTACTTGTTATGAAAAACAAACAAAAAGATTGAATCAACCCTATTCAATACGATGTATTAGTGTATATATCCTTCTTGCATGAACTTTGCTGTGTTAGCATACAAAACTATCTTCTTTGCAACTGTTGTAAACACAATGCAGCAAAAAATAGCCCACCAATTTCGAAATTTCTCGAGTATCGAAACATCTCAAGAGGATTATCAGTCATTGATTATGCTAAAAAGAATCAATTATTGAGCTATCAAGTCAAAAGTATCAATTAAATCAGATTCATTCTTCTGGTATATCTTCTCAAACATGTCCTTGAGCTTGTTATGTTGCATCATTTCTTCCAAAATTCTGTCCTCAAAATTTGATGCAATCTTCTGCATCTCACCACCCGTTTCATTAGAAGCGAACACCAACTCAGACATCCTATGTTTATTAGATTGTCGCTGAAATTTGTCTTCTTCCATCGTCCCACTTGTGATCAAATGGTACACATGAACAACTTTTTTCTGCCCAAGCCTGTATGCCCGACTTATAGCTTGTCTTTCTACTGAAGGGTTCCATGCAACATCAATTAAAATAACTCTTGAAGCTCCACTTAGATTAATACCCTCGGAACATGCTCTTGTTGAGGCAAGCAATACCTTTACCTCATTTGAATTGTTAAACGTGCTGATTAAAGTCTGGCGGTGCATTATGTCATACTTACCATCCATATAGAGAACTTCTTTTCCTTGAGTCCATTTCTTTCTATCCCTTAGCTGGTCCATTATCAAGGTCAATGGCTCAAGATATTGGGCAAAAATTAAGACTTTTTCGCCCAAGGCCTCACTGAGATGGAGGAGTTCGTTCACAAATTTAGTTTTCACTCCAGCATTAGGAATCATTCTACATTTTTCTAACTTCTTCCAATCAATATATCCATGATCCATTTCAGGATGACAATCAATCAACAGAGACGGATGAACAGAAACCAAAGAAACACGAAAATCCAGCAAAATTGTATTTCTTGTACCTTGGAGACCATCAAGGAGACTTTTCTGCAAATCAACTGGGCGTAGGACAACCACAGAGTGCCTCAATCCAGGAAGACTGTCTTTAAGTATTTTACCTTTATGTACATGCACAAATGGTGCAATTACATCTCTGATCACTTTCAGATTGTCAGCTTTAACATCCAAAAATTTTCCCATGGAACTAGTTAGAGAGGTCCATTTCCCTTTAGCTTCACTTCTTTTGCGAGCATGCCTTTTATGATCCTTGTCATCTCCAGGAGAGATTGTGTCTCCAAATTTCGGCAGCACTAAGCACAGTGTATTAAACAGCTCATCAAAATTATTTTGAAAAGGAGTTCCTGAAAGGATGATTCGCTTCTGCGTCTTTATATTTGATAAAGCCTTCCACATATAAGTTTGGTCATTTCGTGGTGTGTGCCCTTCATCCAGGATAAAAAGACCAGGAAGCTCAAGAAGAACTTTTCTAACCTTCTCATCTTTAGCCTTCCGGCGAGCTTTAACTTTCTTTGCCTTTCCTTTTACTCTCTCTTCTTCCCCAGCAAGTTCTTCAAAAAGTCTGTAGCTGACACCAAGGACACCTCCATCCTTCTTCCAAGAATATAATTTCACCATGCGGATAGCATTTATACTTCTTACCCCCTTTCTAGCTTGGCTGAGGTAATTAATAACCTTCTGATTTTCCGCTCCTGAAAACTCAGATTTGTTTAGATTGTGAAAAGGAATGCCAACCCTCCACTTTATGAACTCCTCTTCCCATGTAAGGAGCATACTACGAGGGGCAACAATGACTGGTCTGCATCTTGGATACAACATCATGTATGATTGTAGAAAAACTATCGTTAGTCGAGTTTTCCCAGTGCCAGGAGCATGTGATATAATGCATCCATTTCCACCATCAAATTGAGGTGGGACTTTCATCTTGTCAAGAATGATTCCTCCGGCTATATTCTTCCATATAAATTCAAAACCTTCCCTTTGATGTGGATACATACTATCTTTCACGCCAGGAATCATGTCCCACACTGTACCTTGCTTGATGGTGTAGGGATCAATGCCAGACTGGAAGTTGCAGAAAGAATCTTGGCGGCCAAGATCACCAAAAATAGAGTTCCCATCTGTGCCACCATCCCTTTTGTCTTGTTTTTTCCAAGAATATGTGTCCTGCAACATATAATATCTATATATATGGAAAAAACAAGTTCCAAATATTTACACATAAATAACAGGAAATGCTGTCCCCAGGTTTGATTAAACATTTTGAGACATTCTCCAGAGTACGCAAAATACTTTGATTAGAATCTACATTTTCCTAAAGAAAGATTGAAAACTAAATTGAAAACCATTGTCAATAAAGTTTGCATGGTGCAAGAACACCATCACAAAAATCTTCTCTAATGTTTTTTACTTTATCAGTTCTATCCTTGGATTGGACCCAACCTTCTCCTTCTCTATCCTATTTAATATATCCCTAGCATTATGTAGAGTACATGGAAAGAATCAAATAGTTAACTGCATATTTCCATAAATTATTACTGTATATTTCTAAGAGTTATTTCTATTGATTACATATTTATAGGAATTATTGCTATTTATTGTATAGCCATTTACTCTTAAAATTATGAAGATAAAATAGGAATGTAAAACTCTATAAAATCAACTTTTTGTACTCACTGGTCAAACCAAAAAATAAGAAAGAAAAAATCTTCCTTTTCCCCATCTGCATTCACATTATAAATAATCATATATGAATCCAACAGCAAACACCATCTTAACCAAATTATAAGTTACTACTATGCAACAAGCTATGAAAAAGCATTAATACTGAGAAAAAAAATGGATGTGCTCAACAACGAACCTAAATAAGTTTCCAACCGCACATGTACATAAGACTACTACTAGAAAATTCATCACATATGAAAATAAGCTCACAAGTCAATAGATCATAAATAAAACAGGATTATCTGACTTACAAAAGGGGGCACAATGTACTTGATTTCCTGTTGAATGAAACAGCAATACTTGCATTTGACTCCAATCTCTTCATCAAGAATAAGATGATGACTCCCCTTACTGCAAAGCGTAGCAATATCAAGATCAACCTCTGAACAGACCGCATATTCATTTTCAACCTGCTCGTCAACATGAATAACTCGAGTCAACCTATATTGATAAAATGAAAGATGACCAAGTGGAAACAAACAGAATGCAAGTAAACCTCTAAAAGCTTCGGGAAATGATAGTAAAAAGCCTAGGAAATTTTTGTAGAAGGTCTATAAAAATAAGAAATTACAATATTGTAAATATGGGCAGTAAGTCGGACATAAATAAACACCTAATATATCACCATTAACCATACATGCATACATTATAACAGAGTGCACATTAGGCCTTGATACATAAAAATAGTTTCCCTTGCTTTACATAACAATAAAACTTTGGTCGGTTTGACCAAGTACCAGCATAAGTATTAAAAGTAAAATAAAATACTCAAACCTCGTTATATTTTTTAAAATCAGTTCTACATTAAATCTCTTAATCCAAATTACAAGTAAATAAATTCTGTTCAAACCTTCAGACCCTGCAAATCTGGGTTACATGGTAAACTACAGCACAATAAAAGAAAGACAAAGAAAGTTGAGAAAAAAGTTGATAATCCTATAAATCTACAGCACAATAGATTTATAGGATTGTCTATCTGTAAAGAAAAGTTAAGATTTCATATGCAGTAGATAAACAGATTTATAGAATTATCTATCAGTAAATAGTTGCTAAGTCAATACATTTAATTTTTACTATCATCAACAATAATTACTTCAACAAATATATTCACATTAAGAACCAATGCATCAAAACCTCAAGAAATTTATGATAATATGCTCAATATCGAATAATAAACATCAAGCTAATCAAAGATAGAGGTCACGTTCACAATACACCTTGCAGCAAATGAAAACCACCAAGGAATTGAGGTGACATGCTCAGCACATAAGATATTTACGCCAAGGCAATAAGAGAGCGTTTTGCTTCAATGCAGAACATAAGGTCTCAAGCAGGTTATATTTCAAAATCCATGCCTGAATGCTTTTAATGTTTTTGTGTTAAAAAGGAATGTAAGAAAAATGGCTAGAAACCCCAGCGTAACTAATGTTTCCAAGATTTGCTAAGCTTGAGAGTTCAATCAAATTATTTTCTAATCACACACCAAAGATATTACACCCGAGGAAAAAATCAACTCGTATCAAAGAAAGGAATAAGGGGTTGATTTCCTATTTACTTGGAAACTGATGCTTGATTGGAGTGGAACATACATAATACTGAGGAAAACAAAATGAAATTAAAAAAAAAAAACACTTTTTTAATGCAGGAAAAATAAAATCCTCTTTCATTTCCTTATTCATTACAGAATAACATACCAAAATGTCAACACGTAAGTTTCTCTTTATTGACAGTAAAGTTTCTTCAAACCAAAATAAAAGAGAAAAAAGTTAAAAGAATCTTATAGGATTGGGAAATAAATGATTATAGCAATCTGTTATTGTGTTTGTACAGCATGAAGCTGAATGATGACAGAGGTAAAGAGTTTCGAAGCTTGATGAGAAGAGAGGTTTTTCAGTGAAATCGTTGTACAAGTTTCTTAGTATGAGTGATAACAGTGGCAGCAAAACAGCACCTTTCAAGAAAATATGGAAGACAAGAGCCCCTCCTAGAATGACATTTTTTTACTTATTTACTGCAAATAAATGTATTTTGATTACTGACATGCTAAAAAGGAAAGGTAGCACTATGGTTAGTAGATGCTACCTCTGCAAATCTGATGAGGAAACGTGCAACCACTTATTGTTGACTTTTCCGGCCACATAAAACATTTGGGCCACTGTTTTGAGTTTGTTGGGATTAAATTGGGTTATGGCTGATAATGTGAGTAGAGAGCTGTGGGCATGGGCGGGTTTCGTTTAGAAGAAAAGACATTTGTTACTTATTCCACTAATTATTTTTTGAGTTGTATGGAAGGAAAGAAAAGCGAGAGCATTTGAAGCTATAGAGACTAATTTTACAAACACTAGAGATAAATGAGTTCACACTTTTATCTCTATTTTGTTAGGTCATGACATCAAAGATTGGGATGATTTTGGACTTGTCATGGACCACTTTATTGACTTGTAACTATATTTTGTATACAGACGGTACCCCTTTGGTACCTTTGTGTATAATAATACATTTCTTTTATTTCAAAAAAAAAATTAAAAGAGAAAAAGAAATCAACCAAAACTGATAGAGGTAATTAAGTTGAAGAAAAATACAATTAGCTATCCAAACACTGGGCCAACATGAAATTCACAAGATCGCAATTTTTAATGTGCAAAAAAATCCCCTCTTTTTCTTTTTCCTTACAAATAACATACCAAAAGCTCAACATGTAGGTTTCTATATATTGATAATATACTGTCTTCAAACCAAAACCAAACAAAGAAAAAAGGTTCAACCAGAAGTGGTACAAGTAATTAATTTGCAGAAGAATACAATTAGCTACAGAACCTACTAGAAGTAGTCAAATCAAATAAATAAACAAAAGGTATGATTTTTTCCTGCTTGTTTAAAATGCCAACCTACCATATTACAAGCATGGGAATCAATCTCAAAGGATCGTTGAGCAAAGTTCATCTCTACCCAAAGATTATGCAACTCATTGTCGGAATCTGAATTCTTTGACATACTTGACTCATCAATTTGAAAAGTAAACGTCAATGGAAGGGTTGGCTCAGTTTCTGGATGGTTTCCTTGTTCCTTCAGGACATCACCCGAAGCAACAGTCTCTTCGAATAGCATTTCCTCCTCCTCCAACATGGAGTTTACCACCACCTTAACAATATCATGACTTTTGTGCATATGTTTCCTCTTTTTAGACACGGTTTTCCGGACAGAAGAAAAATTATTGTGGGAAACACCATTCTCTTCTTTGCTGCTTGTGACCAAATCATTCAAATCATGTTCCCAAATACGATCATTATCATCACAATCATGATGATCAAAAGTAGTTGCTGGTGATTGCTTGTTACCTTCTAAACTACTGAAGTCCCTACCATTAACATCATGATTTTTGGGCTTACATTTCTCTTTTCTGTACATGGTTTTCATGACAGCATAGTCCTCATCATCAGAATCATCATTGTCTTCTTCGCTCGTTCTCTCCAAATCATCCATATCTTCCTCCCAAACAACATCACCATCATCATCTTCATCATCATGATTCTCATCACAATCATCATCATCATCACCAGAAGCATCAGCAGCAATAGCTTCTGTATCTTTATCCTTTCAACTCTCTGTTCAATACACAGTGAGCACCTGCAACCCTCTAACCTACTACAACTCCTACTATTAACATTCAACCCACCACTTTATCCAACCCCTTACCAGTCATATCCCATGATCATCAAAAGTAGCATCAGCTGCAACACCAACATCAGTATCTCACTACTTTCACTGATACTGGGGACTCACTACCTTCTGACTACTAGTATCCTAATAACAGTCGACCTAGTACTCTCAACCAAGTTCTCACCAATGAATATAACACTTCATCACCATTGTCATCATCATCAATAACGATAACATCCCTACATTTCTCAGGGTTCAAGTCCCCACAATCCTTAGCATTCATTTCACGTACCCTATCCTTGTTCTCATCAGTCACCTTCTCCCTGGTCTTAATCCGTCTAGCCCGATTCTCTAAACCAGCAGATCCTTTGCAATTAAGCCCTAAATCTCTAGTCTCCATGTTTGTACCCTTTAGGCCTACCCTACCTAATTTACTGCCATTAACCCCTCTGTCTTCACTCTGTCCACTAGGCCTAGCTACATTCTTTCCATCCTCCTTCCTCCTCCTTTCATAGTACTCCTTGAAAAATTGTGCTTCTTTAAGTCTTGTCCTTCTTGCAACGGGTTGGTTATCAAGTTTCAATCTCTTTCCCTCCATTAGTGGTCTGAAACCAAACTCAAACCAAAACAAGGTTATTTAACAGAAAAGACAACATAAAAGCAGTTATTCAAGCAAGTAGCCATGCAAAAGAATACAAACTCACATGAAGATAAAAAAAATACAAAAGAACCGACAGAAGGCAGGTGTATAAAAACAGAAACCAGTATTAAGAGGCGATTCGCACAATAGAAATTCAGAACAAAATTAGACACAAACCTCACATCAAATCCAAATAAAGATAAGATCTGGATAATAAATATATATATTTATCCCCTTCTTTCAAAGGCCAAGGAAGCGAGTGGTTCATTCCCATGCAAGTGTTGTCCCCATTGTCTTGCATGAACTAGGTCAATCATAGAGAGAAATTTATGAGAACTGAGAGACATTGTAACAATGGTGGGAAGGGGCAAAGACTCCAAAAATATACTTTTAAATTTTGGTTAAAAATTTTTGGTCACTAACAATATTTTTAAAAGCAGGATTATTACTTCAAATCAGAGATTAAAACCAATCTTATAATATAGACTAATTATTAGAATTATCCTAATTTGCATTATATTACTTGCCCTAACTATCAAAAAGTGTGTGAGTATAACATCCATAAGTAAATAAATCCTAATATGTTAAATAATTTACAAGCTAACTTAAGAAGAGGGAAATTAAATTACCTACAGAACAAAACCAAATAAACAGGAATAAGATTTACTCCCTGTTTTCCCTCTACCTTCCGCTTTTAACTTCTCATGAACTTCCAATCTGGGAATCATAATAATCATGGTCAATTAACCTATAAGCAAGACAGTACAGCACTTTCTCTGCCCTTGAATCTTAGAATATTTTCTTGAAACAAATATTCACGTGAATGCATATAAAAGTCAATTTTCCAAGAAGGCATCTAATAAAGTCATATGCACATGTGAGCATGCAGTTTTCAAAAGCATATCTTCCCCCTCTTCTTTATAAGAAGCCCCCTTTCAAAAATGTGTTGTGCACATTCAAAATTTCTTCAAGTTGTCATAAACACAGCTATCGCATTCTAATTCTTTTGAAATACGATGTAGTCATGAATGTATTTGTGTTGCTAAGTAACATTCAGCAACTTACCAATTTGAGTATTACACAAAGATCAGTTTAAACCTTTCCTTTGCACAGTGTCACTTATAAAGCATCAAGTTCCTAAACAGTAAGCAATATGAACCCATATTGGCATCAATCAACCTGTCAAGAGATAACAATTGAAATATTTAACAATCCTCATACATAAATTACAGTATGTTGAAAGGTCTTTTGAAGCTAGTAAATGAAATCTTTGTAATGACAATATTAGGACACTAAAACAATGAGCCCATAGCGATATCTGACAGGCTTAAAGGGTCAACTTTAGACAGAAAGGCATCTGAGAACGAGTGCAAAAATTAATAACCTAACTTTCCCTTTTTATCTCTATAATAATGTTTTCCCCTAGATCGGATACAATTTCCTAAAATGAGAGATCAAATTGGAAAAACTAACAGAGAAGACCATTTGGGATTTATTCAAGCACTTCATACACAAATAACCATAAATGAGCTATGTTCAATAAATT